GGAGCAACGAGCGCGGAGTCGTGGAAAGGCAGTTAGGTGGAGACCTTTCGCTCCCCAGTATAGTCCGGGCGATACTGGGGAGCGAAGAGAAGTGGGAAGCTTTCACCTCCTTTTGTGAGGGGGTGATGCAGAAGAAGGAGGAGGCCGAGGAGGAGAGACGAAGAGCAGAGGGAAGGGGAAGGCGGAAGAGGCGGAGAGATCGCCACCGCCAATGGAGAGGAGGGAGGAGCAGGAGCAGGGAGGGGGATGCAGACTCCTCGGAGGAGGAGGAACTCCGGAGGTTGGGGGCGCAGCCACCACCTCCGCCTCCTCCTCACCCCCCTGCTCCTCCTCCAATAAGGAGAGCGAGAGGTAGGAGAAGAACGACGAACTGGAGGGGGCAATTGGGAGCCCTCCAGAAAGACAGAGGGGTGGCGGTGGTGGTGCTGCAGAGGCTTGCCCCACTCGTGGCAGTGGCAGCAGCGCTGACCGCCCCGGCAATTGGGGTGGACGTGGCACTGCCACCGCCGCCACCCCTCGCTGCCCCACCAACGGCAGCGACAGCGACGGGCGAAGGGAGCGGATGGGGCCAGAGGCTAAGGCCTAGGCCCCAAACCCGCAGACCACCGACTCCCGCGAGAACGGGCGTCGGATGAGAGTAAGGGGGGGGAGAGGGTATCGGTGATTGATTAATCACCGAAATAATGCCCCTCCCCACCCTGAATCGCAGGTCCGACAGACCAGTCGGACATGCGGGAGGGGGGTCACTAGGACCCCCCGCCCCATTCCTCCGCGGAGGTGGGGAGAGCCCGGCGGCTAGGGGAGTACATCTCCCCGCAACCGCCGGGCGGGAGGGTGGGGCACCGGGCGGGGACTCCCGGTGCCCCAACCAGCCCTCCCAAGGTAGGGTGGCTGGCTGATACGGTGGGTCAGCCAGCCACACAACGTGTACATTGGCGGCGCCTCGTCTGGTCGGGAACGGTGGTTGAAGCGGGCCTCGGCCGGCTTCCCCCTTCCCGACCGAAGAGACGAGGCGTGAGGGGTGGGAAAGGGGAACGGCGGTCGAAGCGGGACCTTCGGGCCGGCTTCCCCCTTCCCCTGGGGGAGCGGCGGTCGAAGCGGACCCTCGGGTCGGCTTCCCCCCTCCCCCACCCCGCCCCTCAGGGACAGAAGGTGCAACATCTGGACTCGGGGCCCCGATTAGCAGTACACGGCACCGGGGCCCCGAACCAAGTCCCTTCGCAGCGCCACCCGGGGAGGTTTTAGCCGGTAGGAGTCCGGCATAACCCTGGCCCTTCCCCGAGGGTCAGGGTATCCATGATGGATTTCCTCCTCGTCAAAAAAAAAAAAAAAAAAAATGGTTGCAATGTACGATCGAATATTGCGCTGCGAAACGCGCGAATCGGACGCAGAGCAGCCGTAAGAGCATGGCCTCCAATCGTTTGAGCGGCGAAACTGTCATGGCGACGAATGCGTCATCGTTCGGTCGTTTGGGTATACGAGAAAAACTGCCTCCGAAACCGACGTTTACGCGAATGGATCAAGCGCAGAGTCAAGCGTATGTGGCTAATTGAGCTCTGTTGTTTCAATTATGGGACCTGGCCACGTACTATCCCAATATAGCCAGCAAGATTGAGGTGCGCGTGAGACGCGCCGATCCCAAGCGAGATTATGCGTACGAGGCCGAAAACGAGGCCTTTCGAGACGCCACGATCGTGGTCAACTTGCGTTGGATGAACGAATGCACCGTTTGCGAACATCTCAGCTGTAGAGCAAAATACGCGAGAACGGGCACGTGTGTGCCGGGCGATATGCCTCGCGTGTAGGCGTCCGGCGATAATACGACGTTAACGTCTTGCGAACCGGCGTGATACCGGCGTGATAGTCGTGTCACAGGGCATTCGGCCGTAGGTGACACCGTGGCCAAACGCTACGAAGGAACGACGTATCTCGTGATGAACGTGGCCACGGGCGAGTACAAACCGTATACGGCACAATCGCTCTACATCAGCCCAACAACAAACGAGTCGCCGCCGCCGCCGCCGGTCCCGTATGAGCGATTACTGCCAAGCCATGAGCGAAACGTTGATGCAACGCGCCAGGAACCCGACATGCCGCAATTAGAATATGACCCCGCGAGCGACTCGTGCGAATTGGCCAATCTCATGCTCGAAATGTTTGCCATACTGCCGGCACTTCGTACGGCGCCGGGCGAGAAATCGGTGTGCCGTTTGAGCAATTTTGCCATAGGTGACGATTTGGTTCGAGCTCGGCCAGACAAGAGCATATTGTATCATTCGCTCGCGCCAAACGCTCTGGACCGCGCGATCGTTACCGCGCGGCATTCTCGTTCGTACTGTGAGGCTTTTTACAAGAACTTCGATCCCAAGACACGTACGTGTGAAGAGTCAACCTTCGATTGAATACTATCGTACAAGTTCATCGGTTCTGCTCTGGTGCGTCTGATGCGCCACGCGATCTACGGTGATAGTTGCGATACAGTGCTCCCGGCTTCGACGAAGAGGAGCGCTGTAAATGCGAGCGCGGTACCTTTGATGAAACGTTCTCGAGTTCATTGGTACACGGACGTGGACGAAACGTGCTGCCTTCCACCACCGAATGTGCTCTTGAGCGATCTGGGTCCAACGGACGACGATCACGTGTGGACGAATCAAGTCGGCGGTCGCATCGAACGAGCCACTCCTGCGGACTTTCGCACGGGTGGCGACAATTCGCACACTGAGCGCGACGACCGCCGGCGGACGCGTCGTGACACAAAGGTGGCTGCGGCGGTGGTAACGCCGGAACAATGGTAACATCGTCGCGAAAAAATGCTGCGGCAACGATGCAGCACCTGGTCGTTCGCTGAGCGAGACCGATGCACGTGCCTCAGCCCGCAAAATGATACAGATGAACGACTACGCGATCGTTGTCGAAAAACATACGGTGAAAACGACGGCAACACGTGTTCGTCGCGATGCCACCAATGTCAGTTCTCAGTCGATTAATTGGCACAAACCTGTGGTAGGAATACGGCTGTACGATGACGATTATGCGAATAGAGGCAGCGGCGGCGGCAGCGACGATGACGATCGCAGGTTGCTGGATTTCGATCAATTGTACGAAGAGATCTGCGGCAATATGCTGCGCGGCTCGGTCATCAACGCTGACATACTGAATACATTGTCTGCAGAGGTGCGAGACATTCTGATTTCGATCACCATGGAGACTTTTGTACGCAAAATGCTCAAGCTAGGTTTCAATCGAGCGCTTCGCTTCGTAGGCCAACATCTATCAGGTGTTGTCTCGCGTCAGTTGTTAGCGCTAGCAGTGCGCGAAAGCATGGCGCGTATGCTGTCATTTGCGCTGTCTCGCATCACCACGCGATTGCTTCTTGCATTGGGTACCACAGCTAGCGGCATTGGCGTGGTGATTGGCCTGACTGAACTAGTGACCATTCTGCTCGACATTATGCTCATATTCGGCTGGGATCCGGGGAATTACAAGTCGGAATTTGACAACGCGTCATACGATGACATAGCGATCGGCTGGCTGCGAGAGCGCGAACGTTGCAACATGCCGCGTTACGATCCGTATCTGCTGTTGGCACTCTTCTTGCGCGATCGCGAAAGTCCGATGGCCGAAGTCAACGAGGAAGACGCATCTGCGAGCACGACACCGCGACCGGACGAGCGCTTTTTGATTTTCGATCAAACGGACACTCCATGGTACTTTGCCCAATTTCGCGACGCTGTAGATGGCATGATCAGGGACAATCGTGGTCTCAAACGCCAAGTCGGCGCCACTGCTCTCGCAGGTGGCGGCGAACAACAATCAGCAGCGACAACATCGCCAATAATGCAAACATTGGACGATAGGTCTCGCGAAAAACTGCATTCACGAGTACCCCGCTTTCATCTCGGTGGAGCGCACGTCGAACGTGAGAATGAACACTATGACGAGGCCAGCCGTACTCGTTACAAATGTAGCAATGACGGCGGCCAGATCGAGAAAGAGGATCCATTGAAGCGCAGCAGACCAATCGTGTCGGATAACCCGATGGTCTGCTCAATGCTCTGGAGCTTGCATTACTTTGCCAACAGGCGTTACAATTCGTTAGGACAGCGCGTCAATACGGATGACGACGTATTGAACGTGAACGACGCTACGGTGGAGCGCGCCGTGCGAGACAACGAATTGGCCGCGTTACTGGCCAGCGCATATACAGCCGACGTGTTACCGCACAATAGCGTGTTGGGTGCAGCACGGCGCAACGTAACATCCAAATGCACAGATCTCGCGGTAAACACGGCCACTATATGTGGCAGTGTCGTCATTTCCGCGGCATATCTCGCGATGACACTCGTAAGCAATGGCGACGGCGACGGCGGCGGCGGCTCAGGATATCATCTCGCGTTTTTGCTTCTCGCGATAATGGTCATATTGTTGCCTCTCGCCATGTTTACCTTGTCCGTAGATCTCGTAATGGCTCGAAAGCGTACGTACGGCAACGATCGACAAGGTGGCACTTCGGCCGCCGATGTGGATGATTTGGATCGATTGTACGATGCCTTATGCGATTTTGTACTGAACAGTGTGCATGATACCGACGACGACTCACCCGCGGATGATGAGTCACCTACTACCATCTCTAACTCGTGGCTAAGCCGCATCCACGAGTCCGCTCGTTTCCGTTCGATCAATTACATGCGATCGGAGTTGCGAGTAGTACGCGAGGTCTAGTGCTTTAGAAAAACGCTGTGCAAAGGCAACAACGCGTACGAAAGAACGCGTACGATTGCAATGTGTACTGAGTCGCACGAAGGCGCGAAGAGGAAAACATTTTCAGTAACTTGAAGACGCTGCAACACACTCTTGCGTTTGAGGCGTTCGAATTCGTTCTGGGTGTCATTGTTGTAGTTCTATTCTTACGGTATTTGAACAGCGATTGACGCGTGAGGCACGAAATGACCGTCGCGGCAACAACATGCGCTTTTCAACTATGCGATACGCATGCCTCAATGTTCGACTTGTTGTTCTCGAAAACGAGCAGAGAAAACGATGGCTACGGAGGTAGCAATAACGCAAGTTGGTATCTCACACGTCTCGGTCGTTCGCTCGTTCGCACAGGACAAATGTTACGTCGCAGGAGACCAGCGAAGCGATTGGGCAACGACGTGCGTAACTCGAGCGACGATGATGACGACGACGACGACGACGATGACGACGCGCAGGTAGTAACCAGTGAAGAAACGGACGATCCACGACGAGACACAATGATGTTCATAGCCAACAATCGACGCCTATTTACCATCGGAGGATCACACTCGGTGATACGAGTGTACAGGGCATTGCATCGAAGAATCTACAGCGAAGCTTGGTACGGTGGTTGTGAACGCAGATGCTCCTATCGCGACGGTCGACACGAACATGTGACACTCGGCGTGGCCACATATCCACACAGATCCGAATCAGTCGCTCTCACCCGGTACGGTTTCGCTCAGCGCGTATTACGCAACGATGGTGACGGCGGCGGCGGCGGCGGCTGTGAATTGAACGACGAAGACGTTTCGATTACCGCGCGCACCACCTATAGTCGCGGAGTACATAACTCTCGTATTCGCAAAGAACGCATCTCGGCACGTCTGTGGCCTGAAGACGACGACAATTTGTTATCGTTATCAACGTCATCTGCAGAGTAACCGTTCGCACCGATCTGGCGATGCGACGTGAGCGCCGACGGCTGGGATCGGTATTGACGACGAGCGACCTGCCAAATTGCTGGATTATCGATTCGAGAGTGCACGCGAGGCGTTGGCGCTCGTGTTCAGTCTCGTGAGATGATGTGAACGCGTGTATCGCGAGACCGGATTGTATCCAGTACGACGAAGCGTACGGGATTTGTTATGGCGCCGAGAGAGTGACGGCAGATCGAGCGCCGCCGCTGCCGCGACTATGACAACTGGAATAACCGTCGTGTCTTCGTGCGGCCTCGTGGACGTGGGAGACGACTCGGCGTACGTGCACACCTTGCGTGTACTCATGCTCATGGTGTATGTGAGTTGCTCTTACGGTGCGATGGTCCGTACTGCATCGATCAACGATCGCGTGTCCAATCGGTCTCACGCCTGTCTATTTCCACCCAAAACGTCTGGAATTTATCACGCCTTATTTCATACGTCGGTACTGCCACATCTTTTTTTTTTTTTTGACGAGGAAGAAATCCATCATGGATACCCTGACCCTCGGGGAAGGGGCCAGGGTTATGCCGGACTCCTACCGGCTAAAACCTCCCCGGGTGGCGCTGCGAAGGGACTTGGGTCGGGGCCCCGGTGCCATGTAACTGCGATCGGGGCCCCGAGTCCGGGTTTGCACCTTCTGTCCCTGAGGGGTGGGGTGGGGGGGGGGGAAGCTGACCCGAAGGTCCGCTTCAACCACCGCTCCCCCAGGGGAAGGGGGAAGCCGGCCCGAAGGCCCGCTTCGACCACCGTTCTCCTTTCCCACCCCTCACGCCTCGTCTCTTCGGTCAGGAAGGGGGAAGCCGGCCGAGGCACCGTTCCTGACCAGACGATGCGCCGCCAGTACACGTTGTGTGGCTGACTGGCCCACCGTATCAGCCAGCCACCCTACGTTGGGAGGGCTAGTTGGGGCACCGGAAATCCCCGCCCGGTGCCCCACTCTCCCGCCCGACGGTTACGGGGAGATATACTCCCCTAGCCGCCAGGCTCTCCCCACCTCCGCAGAGGAATGGGGTGGGAGGTCCTAGTGATCCCCCTCCCGCATATCCGATTTCTGTATCGGATCTGCGATAAGGTGGGAGGGGTATTTTTCAATGGTTTGTCACCATCGATACCCTCTCCCCCCTTATTTTTATCCGACTCCCTTTTTGTGGGGAGTCGGTGGCCTGCGGGTGTGGGGTCTGGGCCTGAGCCGTGTCCCCCACCCGCTAGCATCGCCCGTCGCTGCTGTTGAAGGGGCAGCGGGGGGTGGCGGCGGCGGCGGCGTCATAGCCACCCCTACTGCATGGGGGGCGGTCAGCATTGCTGCCGCCACCATCAGGGGGTGAGTCGGCGCAACGCCACTACCGCCACCCTTCCGTTTCTTTGAGTCCCGCAGCGGGCACCGTGCCCCCTACGGGTTCCTCCTCTTGCTGGTGCCTGGGGGGCAGGAGGGGGAGGGGGGAGGAGGAGATGTTTGACCCACCATCCTCCTAAGCTCGTCCTCCTCTGACGAGTCGGCGTCCCCCTCTCTGCTCCTGCTCCTCCCTCCCCTCCACTGGCGGTGCCTCTCGCGCCGCCTCCTTTTCCTTCCCCGACCCTCTGCCCTTCTCCGCATTTCTTCCGCCTCCTCCTTCTGCGTCATGACTGATTCGCAGAAGGAGGAGAATGCGTCCCATCTTTTCTCACTCCCGAGGATCGCCCCGACTATCCTCGGGAGTGAGAGGTCTTGGCCTATGGCCTGGACCATGACTCCGCGCTCGGCACTCCATGCGGGGCAGCTCTGGAGTGTATGTTGCGCGGAGTCATGTCCGCAGTGGTGGCAGGAAGTTGTGCGTTCCTTTCCTATACGGCACAGGTACTCACCGAAGCATCCATGCCCGGTGAGCACCTGTGCCATCCTGAATGTCAGGGTTCCGTGGGCCCATCCCACCCATTCTTGCAGGAAGGGCCGGACGGCCTCGACGGTCCTCCTCCCATACCTGGCGTTGGCCAGGAGCCTTTGCCATCTTTCGAGGAGGACTCGCCGAGTCTGGTGCTTCATTCCACGTATGGCCCTGGCGAGCGGTTCTCCGTCCCCCCCTGTACGAATGAGCTCACGCTTCCTGTCGTACATGCGTTTGTACGACAGGGCCATGAGCTCCAGGGGGGGCATGCTCGCCAGGACCGTCGCCGCCACGCAGGACACAGTGCGGTAGCACCGTGCTACCCTGACCGCCAGCACCCTCTGCACTCTGCGCATTTGCGCCTGCATCGGGCGACTGGCGGCCAGGGCTTCCGCCCTAATTGGCGCCCCGTACAGCGCCACTGAATTCAATACTCCTGCGTGGAGGCGACGAGCCTTCCCATCCGGTCCCCCGACGTTGGGCATAAGCCTGCCCAATCGGGCGGATATCACCCTTAATCGGGGGACCAGTCTGTTAACGTGTTCCTTGAAGCACCAGGTGCCGTCCAATTTGAGGCCCAGATAATTCATCTGGGCCTCCAACGGAACCCTGACTACACCCACCCGCACCCAGGCTTGGGGTGGCTTCCTTCCTTTCTTGTGAAAGAAGATGGCCTCCGTCTTTCTTTCAGCCACCACCAAGCCCAGGTTGCGGATGGCACGCACAACTCCTGCCACCGCGATATTGGCCATGTTAACGGCATCCCCCCAGTCATTACCCCCGGCTAAGATCAGATTGTCGTCTGCGTAGCACACGACACTACAGCCGGAGGGGAGGGCTGTCCGGAGGACTGAGTCATATCCGAGGTTCCACAATAATGGGCCCAGAACTGAGCCCTGTGGAACCCCGCAACTCATTCCCCTCTCGCGCACCCTGCCGTCGGCGTCCATCCACGTGAGACGCCGACCCCGGAAGTAGTCCTCGATGACGGCCACGAGGTAGGGTGGGAAGCGGAAGTAATTCCGCATTGCCTGCACCACCCTACCCCAGGGCAGGGTGTTGAACGCGTTGGCGATATCCAACGATATCGCCACCTCCACCCCGCCCTCCATCACGATGGCTTCCGAGAGGGATCTCAGATGCTTTATCGCATCTACGGTAGATCTCCCCTCCCGGAAGCCATATTGACCGTCATCGAGGTTGGGTCCTTCCCGGGACATATGCTCCTGGAGGCGGGCAGCTATGATTCTCTCAAAGAGTTTACCCGCTTCATCCAGGAGGCATATGGGCCGGTACGCGGAGGGGGAGTCCTCCGGTTTGCCCTCTTTTTGGAGGAGGACCACATTGGCCCTCCCCCAGACTGGGGGGAACCTTCTCTCCCTGAGGGCTCGCGTGAACAGCACAGCGAATCTCCCGTTCATACACTCCGAGGCCAGGGTAAGGACGCGGCCGGGGATACCATACGGTCCGGGAGCTTTCCCGCTCTTGACCTTTTTGACACCCCCAGCCACCTCCTCCTCTGTGACCCCCGGTAACTCCCCCTGTTGTTCGGGGGATGGTGGTATGTATGGGGTGATGGGGTTACCCTCCCCAACCGGGAAAAGGGTTCCCATCACCCTCTCCAGGAACCGGGGGTCAAGCGTCACCGTCTTAGGGGGCGTCCATGGTCTCAGCTTCTGCATGATCATTCTGTATGGACGCCCCCACGGATCAGCGTCTAGTGAGAGGAAGAGGTCGTCCCACCCTCTTCTTCTGGCCGCCCCGATGGCCTCTCTCAATTCCACAGCTGCTTTGCAGAATTCCATCCGGGCGACCAGAGTGGCCTCAGGGTTCGGGATTTGACTATTCCGCTCCCTTCGGAACGTCCGCCTGGCGTGGACCGACCTGCGCCTCAACTCGGCTATTTCGTCGGACCACCACCAGGCGGATCGTTTCGGGCAGGACCTGACTCTGGGCATGGAGGCATCGCACGCCTGTGCGAGTATGTCCATAACCTCCATGACCTCAGAGTCAAGGTCCTGCCCCTCCCTTCGTCGTGGCCAGGTGGAGCCCTCCAAGGAGATCTCTAGGATCTCCTTGTTTAACTTGGTCAGTGACCATCTTCCAGGTCGGGGTTCCTTCCTTTGGTCTGGCCGCAGGCCATTGGGGGTGACGGACAGCTCCATCTCTATTATGAGATGATCCGACAAGGTCTCAATCTCGTCCGCCATCCTCCAGGTCCGCACCCTCTTCATGGCAGCAGGGGTTGCCCACGTTAGGTCAATGATAGATTCCCCCCGCTGCCCCACGAATGTGGATTTATCTCCTTCATTGAGGATGTGCAGACCCAGGCCCGCGGCCCAGTCTACTGTTTCCTCCCCCCTCCTGTCACCGCGCTGGGATCCCCATACTTCTGATTTTGCATTGAAATCCCCAGCAACGATGACAGGACCCTGAAGATGCTGTCTTATGGCATCTCCTATCTCTTGGGGCCTGGACCTGTATTCAATCAGGTCCAGGCTCTTTGCTGGGGATAGGTATACCCCGACCACGATGGTCACTCCCCACCTGACCACGACGTACCCCTGGCCACAACTTAAGAATTTCGCGGGGGGTGAGCTTTCGCTCGCCTTCCATGTGATAGCGACAGAGCCCCTGTCGTCCCCAAACCACCTTGGGTGGTTTCTGGGGACATAATAGGGCTCTGCCGCTATCCCTAATCCCGCACCGCGCTCCGCCGTCGAGTGCTCGAATAATGGTGGAGCTTGGCGGGCGCGGTGCAGGTTCGCTTGTAGCAGCCTGGTGGTCATTATTGGTCGGTCGGATTAATGATGACCTTACCACCAGGCTGCTCTCCCTTGTCGCTCTCTGCATTCTCCAACGGACGTGGACATTTCTCCCCTCTCTTTTCTTCCACCTCCATTTTCTCCTCCTCCGCCTGCGTGGAGGGTGGAGGTGGTGGTGGTGGTGGAAG